ATCGATCCTATCCCTAAACCCAATTCCCTCCCTAACGATTTCATCGCCAACAGATTTTAAAGAATACAGATTTGATTTCATCTCTAACCCAGTTCGATTTCATAAACCCTAAACAATTTCATCGCCCTCCCTAATTCATGCATATCGTTCTATCGATTTCAAGTGCTTCGTGCATATCGTCCTACCAATTTCAACTACTCAACCGATTTAGATGGAGATACTTCACATCCTCTACTCATATAAATTTGAAGCAGGTTTTCAAAGTATCTTGTTTTTGTTTTCCAGAATACAAGCATCCAATTTTCCAAGGTTTGTTTTCTTTACCATATTGTTCAATTTCTAGGGTTTTTTTTTCTATGGCATCTGTTTTATGGTGTATGTTAGGCAAAAAAAATTTGTGGCTAATGCTTTCAAAGTATTATCTCGTGCAGTTTGTATTGCTAGAAGATATAGTGTAGTTCGTAGACAGTTTGGCTCACGTAATGGTGGACCCGAGACCTAGGTTATTTAAAAATGTGATTTTGTTTTTGTCATTTTTTTTGTACGGAGTCACAACAATATCTAGCTGAGTTGATTCAGGTCTTTAAATGTTTGAAGATTTTGTTTTTGATTTAGGTGATTGATTATAAAACTCAGCAAAGTAGACTCTTCCCTTTGCTGGCTTCTGTTTATGCCTTCAGATTTGTTAGTGAATGGTTGATGTGTGGATGAGCTATGAAAAAAATATTTTGATTTAAATGCTACTTTCAAGTTCGTTGATAATGTCATTTTTTTCTTCTATTGTGAATTTTACAGATTACTGCTCTGTGGCTTATTGATTTGATTTCTGATGATTGGAGAACGACTGATTGGTTTTGTTTATCAAAAGGGGAAATTGTTTTACTACTGTACAGTGATTTTTGATTCCATTGAGAAGTTTGTGTTAGAAGTTCACGATTTAAAGTTTGTGTTAGAAGTTAGAGCATGATAATGAATTATTTGACTGAGGTTATGGTAAGTTGAATGAGAAGTCCCATAAAATCGATTAATAGTTCTTCCAGCCACTAATATTTCTTTAAACCGTTTCTGCTAAGTTTACACCAGCCCAAGTTTTAACTTTGCAATACACACAACTTGATTTTCATTATAACGATAAAGACATTATAACATCATCCTCATATCTCTCCAATGACCTGGAAGATAAAACTCCACTTGATGATCATGTGTTTCAGAAGTATAGTTCCTTAAAAGCAGGACATCCGGTTCTTAGGGTTGAAGAAACATTGTTTGTTTAACTATGGTATAAATTTGCATAACTTATTCTCTTGTTTTACTCCTTTATGTATTCCATGAATTTTGAGATTTGGAAATAATTTTCCTTCATGCTTTCTTCAGCCTTAAAACAGAGGATTCGAATGTGGTAGTTCATGTTCAATTTTTTTGTAAGTTGGAGGACTTGAAACTTCTTTGAAAGTTTGTAGCTTTGATAGTGAGAACGATAAATGAACTGGTTGCATGCTACATATTTTAGGATTATGCTCTTAGGTGCAAGGAGGAGGAATTCGCTGACTTGTAAATAAACATGGATATAGTTGTTCAATGAGGGTTTCTTCATTACTGATGATTTTAATGTATTTCCTGTGTTGCCCAATACAACCATCATACTCCTTAATTCTCTTGGTCTTGGAAATATTGATTTGCTGGATGAAAGGACCATGTGTTTTGGCATAGCAGAGGTAATGTTTTTATTTATTTATAGCAGTTTGGATCATTTAATAAGAATATATCGTTTAACACTATTTTTCCCCTTCAAATTATTTTTTCAATTTTTGGTGGCCATAGTGGGAATGATTTGCTAAGCCAACTATAACTTTAATGCTTCAGTCCTGCATTCAACTTTAACTATAAAGTTGTAGTCTTTTGGATTACACGGTATTGAAGCAACAACATGTATAAATCTGTTTGCATCGAGAATCAAATGAGAAACTGTTATGAAAGGTCTTGGAAACATGAAAATCAATGTTTAGTTGCACGTTCTATGGCCAATCAACCAGTCATGGGTTTGCAGCTTGGCCAAGATGCATCTACAGCAGTACATAGCTCACAAGAATCTCAACCGTTAACTTTTTCTACATATAATCACTTTCCATCTTTTATTTAAATTGTTTTTTTGTGTTATATGTATAAGGTGCAACACAGTGGTTAAAAACACAAAATGAAAAGTAAGTAGATAATCAAGGGCATGTGTTGTTCCAAGTTCTAACCTTACTTTCTCCTTTTGGCATAGATGGATCTCACTGCAGTGCATGACATTTTGCTAAAAACAGGATATGAAGATGAAGTGGGGGCTAAAAATGAGGTGTGCATAACTCTTTTGTCTTATATTCTCTCCAACTATTTTCTAGGATTACTTGAATTAGAGTGCGCTAAAAAGATCGACTTATTTGATATATTCTCTCCAACTACTTTTGCACCAGATTTTTTATACAATAGTGGCTTTTTGCCAATTTTATTCAGTTACTGGTGCTTTTCTTGTTGCCAAAATATGTTGTTTTCTTGATAACGACTTGCTTCTGCAGAAGCTGTTGGTGGATTATTCCGACATAATTCTAGTTAAACTAATACACTTTAACTAAAAGATTAGAATACAATTATACTAACATGGTCAGCATGGTGGATTGATCCTACATCTTTTATTATTTYTTTATATCTCGAGTACGAACCCAAGAATTTTTGGATACGGTGGCACCATATAAAACGGTTRCACCTTCTAGAATAAAACGATTGCACCTTTCACGAACCTAATTTCTTTTTACTTTACCATGGAGGAACAATACGGTGGCACGTGCCACCTAACCACCCCTCTAGGTCCGTCTATGATCTCGACAATGATTGGACTATTTTGAGTCCTGGTGATTTGCAGAGGCCGTCTTGAATTGAACTAAACAGCTATATTATCTTCTGTTTGGTGGTTCTTTTTGCCTTAGCCAACAGCATTTCTGTATTTGGTATGTTAGGAATTTGCACCTTTTGAAGATATCATCACCACGTTGGTTAAAAACATCCCCTTTGTTATATATATATTCATATATTATGATGCAAAAGTGATACATAAGTGTTAAAAATCAACCACTTAAAAGATTTGTTTTTGTACGAACGATTGTAGAAGCGACTAACACCGACATTTCACATAGATGGTGGAGTGGAGTAATTACCAAAGAACTTGCCGATAATAGGTATAATGCGTTCTTTAAACACGCAAAAAAGAAAAGAGAATTTATTTACTCAAGAATGAGGCCACATATGGAGTGGAAAGGTGGAAAATGGTTCAATACTTCCCAGGTATTCATATCACTATTTCCATGGTTAACTTATCTACATGCTTTTTAATTGCAACAGTCCCACTCTATTTTTTGGACAATGTGAATCCTTGTATGTTGTCTAAAACCTTTGTAATGGTTATGCATATATTATATTCATAGAACTTTGGCTATCCAATCTAGAAAAATAAATACAACCTAATCTGTGATTGGATGACTAATCAACAAGGTTGTTAATAAGCCAACAATTCAAGCATGTTCAACTTATGTGCAAACCACGAATTTAAGTGTAAACAAACCAAAACTAAGCTTTTGTAAACTAAAAGAACTCGGGAAATGAGACAAAAAGTGCCTAAAATGATGCTATATATATGTATATATAAGTATAATATAATATTTATGTAGGTATGCGTTAGGTACAATATCAAATATTTATATTGTTAGCCTAATGTGTTGAAGCATTGGGGCAGGACAAGAGCATTATTGAATGATGTGGATGGTATGTATGTATGTATGTATGTATGGGTTGATGTAGTTGAAAGCATAAACTATAGTAGTAAATATTGACTGCACAGCACAGGTTTCTACATTTATTTTGAGTTATACAGTTGCATCTAGGTTGTAATTGCCTATGGAATTGATTTAATATATATGGATGGTAGAATACATTGTTGCATAAAGTCTGCTAAAAGAGTGAAGTTGTTTCCGAGTAAGGGGTCATTTACTTAAATACTTACCCGGTAAGTGCTTATTGTTAGGAGTCAATCCGATAATTTATTTTACTGGTAAACTTGTAGTACATCAAAACTTATCATATGCAACAATTTACCTAGTAAGCGTTTACCCGGGTAAGAGTCATCACCTTCACTTACCGGGTAAAACTCTTCATCCTTATCATCGCTCTTACCGATAAGATTCTTGGCCCTTGCCATGTTCATCCGGTGAGGAAAATTACCCGGTAAGTACTTACCGGGTAAGCATTTAGTAAACGGCCCCTAAGTAGAGCAAGTAACCATCATTAGGCCTTTTAACAAACACTTGGCTCTCTAGAATATATTTACACATTCATGACTGGTTTCTATGAATTTATTATTTACTTATCTCTACATAAGATCAACTGAGTTACAACTATGTCCACAAACTTACAACTACAATTATTTAAAAGAATAACCACAAATAGTTTTAGTGTTGAGTGCAAACTTGGAGGAAGGGTGTTTGGTGATATATAAAAAGTAATACCTTTGTTAAAATATAAATATATGAAGCAAAATGTTGCCGTATTGTATTTCTTAAGATAATATTTGGTAGATGATGCACTAAAGAAGATTGAAAGTATGCTCATTTCCTGCTGTGTATGGTGACATGATGCAGGGGACTATCAAAGATGGGGATATAGCTGCAATCAAGTAAACTGTTATGGCCTCTATTAGAGGAAAGATAGGACTTCAATGATGAACTTAAGGTTACCATTATGGTATCTTATATGTCTTCTTGGAATTGTAGCAAATGGCCATTCTTATTTCTTGCATTCTACATGAACAATACCATGTTACCATCAGTCATAATATATATATATATATATATATATATATATAGGCTTCCAATACTCTTTTCTAGATCTCTTGATCAAAATGCATCTTAAATAACCAAATTTAATTAATCTTTTTAGGGATAGTGGTTTCCTGGCACAATAATATGCCATTCATGTTCAGAGAAAGTAGAAGCATGTAACTTTGAAATAAATTTACAGTTTACTCTAAAATATAACTCTTAAACTTACATATCTATTATATAAACTTATACAACACTTTTTGAGAATAAAAAAAACAATCATTTGGTTCTATGGACTTAAGTCCTATAAAGTAATGTATCATAACACTCACCTGATTTTGTTATTTCTTGCCGTAAGTAAACTACCCGGATGATTGATGTTTCAAATAGATATGAACATATGATATGATTTGGATTTTAATCCAGCTATAGAGACCATGTTTTAAGTTATTAAGACGAAATTAGATGACCTAACAAAACGCTATAAATAAAACGACTTTTTTTGTGTCGTATACTAGATTCGTCATTCTTTTTACTTTGTTCGTGTAAACAGCTTATTGTAACATTATCGTATAAACTGAACTGAATTAAGTTTGATATGGAAACAGGTGGTACAACAATATATTTGTTAGGAATGAGTCCATTCATTGCTGGTCAATTAGATACAGGGAATACTCCGGTTAATGTGAAGAAGCTTGCTCTTGGGTGGATGATCGCTTATCTCTTTGTTGTCAACTTTGTTGGTCTTTTCTCCATTGTGCCACTACGAAGGGTACCAATCAGTTTCAATATTAATATCATTCATCACAAAACCGTCACAAAGTTGGTGGGTAAACTGACGGTGGGAAACTCAAATCAGTAACAGATTATCCGGAGATGTTCTGGGTAATCCGTTGGTGTTTTCTTCAAAAATATCGGATTCTACCGAATCATTAATATTTTATGGGTAATCCATTGAAAATCATGGTCAAAAATTTTGATCGATGGTTTTTTTATTTATTTAAGTAAGTGTCATTTATTTTGTAAAGGTGGTCGGAAAAGTTATGTGCTTTAGAAGTCAAAAAGTCAACACTAGAATTTCTGGAAAATTTGTAATTGGTTGCCTCTACGTTTCATTCTAATTTGCAGCTAATGGGATTACCTGTTAACTAGCTCTAGACACTAATAACATAATCAAAATATAAATTTGTATTTGTATTTGTTTTCTTGCAGGAAATAGCTAAAAAAAATTGCAATTTTGCCACTCCTTACTTTAATTTTGAATCCACTTCTTGAAAGAAAACAAGTTTCTTGAAATTTTCCATTTCGAATCATATTTCTAGGGTAAACTATCAAGCCTCTCAACAAGGTTTTAAAATGGATTAGGCATCCTATTCCAAACAAAAAAGATCTTCTGGATAGACTCTTCCAAGCCTTGATCTTTTCAAAATTTGATTTAAAATCAGGTTATTGGCAAATACAGATCGCTGAATCTGACATTTATAAAACTGCTTTTAATGTTCCTATGGGACATTATGAATGGAAGGTCATGCCTTTTGGTCTGAAAAATGCTCCTTCTGAATTCCAACAAATTACGAAAGACATCTTTTATCCTTACAACAATTTTATTATTCTTTATATTGATGACATTCTTATTTTCTCTAAAGACATAGAAAGCCATTTCAAGCATTTGAACATTTTCAAATCTTTAGTCATCCAAAATGGATTAGCCATTTCTAAACCCAAAATGTCCTTATTTAAAACAAAAATCAGGTTTCTAGGCCATGATATAGAAAAGGGAACTATTATTCCTATCCAAAGAAGTATTGAATTTGGAGACAAGTTTCCAGACAAAATTTTAGACAGGACTCAATTGCAAAGATTTTTAGGTAGTTTAAATTATATTTCTGCCTATATTAAAGACCTTTCTCTCTATACCTCTCTTCTTTATGATCGTCTTAAGAAGAACTCCTGTAGTTGGACTGATAGTCATACTTTAGCAGTTCAGGAAATTAAGAAAAAAGTTAAAAACCTTCCTTGCCTTATGCTTCCTAATCCCCTTTGGGATAAGATTGTTGAAACTGATGCTTCTAATATTGGTTATGGAGGTATTCTAAAGCAAATTGACCCTCTTACAAAGCAGGAATACCTTATTAGGTTTTATTCGGGTAAATGGAAAAGTGCCCAATTAAACTATTCTGCTGTAGTTAAAGAGGATTTTGCTATTGTTAAATGTGTTTTAAAATTCCAAGATGATTTATATAATCAAAAGTTTTTAATAAAAACTTATTGCAGTTCTGCTCAATTCATGTTTAGTAGAGATTTTAAACATGATGTTTCTAAACAAATGTTTGCTAGATGGCAAGCTCATCTTGCTCCTTTTGATTTTATAGTCAAACATATTAAAGGAGCTGATAATCACTTACCTGATTTCTTAACCCGGGAATATCTTTCATGTCTTCAGGTATGAGCTCACATTACAGTTCCTACTCCTCTTATAAAAAGATATTGAAAAGAGAGTCTTTGGTACTCTGATCAATATTTAAGCTATTAATCTTCTTTTTAGTCCAACAATTTGGTGAAGAATGACCAATTTTTCCGCAGTTTTTACAAACGATTTTATCTTTTTTAAAACCTTGAGAATTTTTAAAATTCTTTTCTGGGGAAATCATTTGATTTTTTCAGATCAAAATCTTTGTCTTTGTTGGTTTTTTGTAAATCTTTTTTTTTCGAAAGATTTTTTTCTTTTGAAACGTTTTTTGTACTGGCGATAATCCTTATCTTTATCGTGAGTCTTATGAAACTTTCTTTAGGGTTTCTTATAAGGAACCTCCATACCAAATTGGTCACAGAAATCACCTAATTGTTTTCTTTCAAGCAAATTCTGCTTTTTGATCTGATGATTTAATTTTAAATCATTGCACAAAGAAAGACCTTCAGCATCACAAGTACTGATTAGCTGACCATAAGTATAGTGATCATAATTAACAGAGATATTCTCTTTTTTTAAAATCTTTCTGATTCTTTCAGCAAAAAGATGAGGAAGACCATCAACAAATTTGGCTTTCCAATGACTGTTATTACAGTCTTTTAATTCAAAAATACGGGAAAGAAAAGTATCTTTATACCATCTGAATTCAGTCAGAGTCTTACATCTAAGATTACTGATAAGAGTTCTAATATTTTCACTATTATCATAAAATCTTCCGGTGAAATGTTCAATGATGGTTAAAATAAGAGGATAAACAACATTAGTTGTTTCCTGACCATCCTCTGTCTTAACAGAATTATAAATTTGATCCTTTTGAGCATGAGGGATATAATTGTCCCACCAACCTTTCAATTGCCCTGTGAAACCAGAAATAATCATCTTGGCAATATTCTTATCAGTATTACCGATATTCTTACAAACAGTGCTATACATAAGCATGCGATGAGCCATATTATAAATATGTTTATCAGTAAAACCATCAAGACTTCATTCATAAATACACTTACCATTATAACTATTATTTATGATGTACTCTTGTTCTTCATGAAGAACATCCATAGGAGTAGGACGGTCATAATAATATTTATTTAAAGTAGGTTTACTAGCCCACTTCATCTTGTGGATCTGGTTATTACTCTGGTCATTATCAGAGTTCTCAGAACTATTATCCTTGTCGAGAATGGAAACAGAGGGTTTAGAAATATGAAGACTGGATAATTTTAAATCAAGCTGTTCCATAAAATCTTCAGCTTTCGTCTTGGTTTTGAAATTTTTTATTTCAAGAGGGGGCTGAATAGAATTTGAAGTCAAAATGACTTTTTCAGAAGAAGAAGAARGAATATCAAGCTTTTTCTGATTTTGCTCAAGCTGGAAAATCTTTTGATGTATCATAGAAATATGATCATCTAGAGAGAAAATCTGTTCTCCTATGATTTTTAGTAATAAATTAGAATAATTTTGCTTTTCAAGTAACTCGTTGATATGTAACGAAGTAACAGAAAGAGTATCATCTTTAATGAGTTTGGAAAAAGCAGAGAATCTTATACTAGAATCATTTTTATTTATAATAAAAGGAGATTGAGGAGGAAAAACAGAAGTTCTTTTTTGTTTGGAATAGGATGCCTAATGATACCATTTATGTTCCAGAATCTTGAGTCAAAAGATAAGGAGGGATACTAAGTCTTTTCGTTACATGAAAATCAGCCTCAAACCTCAAACCAAGATCTTGAATACCCTAAACGGCACTCTTGGCCTTAGCGGGTAACGATCAGTCTCAGAGATCTCAGAGGCAAAATTCACATGTTAACAAAAAGATTAATATCTATCTATATCTTGCTTAATATTTGAAACATATAAAACATTTCATGTAAATCTGTAAGAATAACCAATCAAAAACATGTTTTAACTCATATCCTAAATTTAGCCTACCATAAGGCTAGAAATATATAAAAACAATAATAAAAAGAGGTAAGAATAAAAAACTTACAGAAACTCAAACCACTGTCGGCTTGCTTGTTTGTTTTATTTCAATACTGAACACTGAATACACCTTTACAAACTTAGTAGGAAAAATCTCAAACTTCTCTAACCCAAGTCTAATTTCAAAGAGAGACAAGCCTCTCCTTAAATAGCTAAGAAAAGCATAAAAGAAAACAACTGTGGAAAACAGCTGTAGAAGACGATAAAAGACTTTTATGAAAAGTCATAAAGAAAAAGAAATGCTTTATGAAAGCAGTAAAAGCAGCTTTATAAAAGCCTCTTTTTGACTAAAATACACCTTTGTCGGAAAAAGATATCACTTCCCGTGTTTGATCGAATCTTTTAAAGTTTCTAGGGCATCTTCAAGAGAAATGGCTATCTCCTCTGAACCTTCTCTGCTTTGAGCATCTTGTTGAAGGTCTGAATTCATCGAAGCATCAGAACTTGGTTGACAAGGTCCTATATTATCATATAGATCTTTCTTCATTTTCTCTATATAAAGATCGACAATCTCATCTTTAGAAAGAGTTCCTGCATATTTTTGAGAAAGCTGTTGAAAAGGACTTGGAATTTCTGAATCTTCCTTGGCTTGTTTTTGAAGCTCAAATTCCTTTTTGTAATGCTGAGTCTTCTTCTCAATGGTCTCATAAAGATCTGATCCCTCTATAAGAGTAGAACCTGGACAAATGCGATCTAATTTGTCCCAATATTTTGTAAGACCTTGTCTTTTAATACATGGTATCATCATATCAGTATAACCAAAAACTGGTTTCCATTTCCAAATCCATGGGATACCAAATTCTATAAAGAATAAGCAAATGTTGCTATCTTCAATAACATAAAGACTTTTACAGTTATTAACTGTTGGAGAATATAACATCCAATTTTTAATATGGCTTTTCATATGATTTGGGAAAATTTCAGGAGAGGTTCCAAAAATTTTCCACCAGTTAAAAAACCAATTCGGAATTGGTGTGTGAAAGCAGTTTTCACAAATTTTTAAGAACCAAGAATGTCTTTTGTTCTCGTTTTCGTAAAGTAAAACATTAGAAAAACTCTGGATATAATCCCAGTAGTTAAACTTAAAATTATGCTTGTGAGCTGGAGAAAACCATTCTTTCTCCGCAAGAGGAGTAAATCTCCATTCTTCAAAAGATATAATCTTTTTTATTACAAGCTTTGAAAAACTAAAATTGTCATGGGCCTCATCTCTGTTATTAGAAGTGTGATGAGTAATTTCTACAGATTTTGTAGAGAGTAGAAGACCTTCATAATACTGTCTTTGTTTTAAAGAACCGTAAACAAAAGATGTCTTAT